CCACTTGACTTCACATTCCAGGATGTCTGGCTCTAGGTGAGTGATCACACCATCGTGATTATCTGGGTCGTGAAGATCTTTTATGTACAGTTCTTCTGTGTATTCTTGCCACCTCTTCTTAATATCTTCTGCTTCTGTTAGGTCCATACCATTTCTGTCTTTTATTGAGCCCATCTTTGCATGAAATGTTCTCTTGGTATCTCTAATTTTCTTGAAGAGATCTCTAGTCTTTCCCATTCTATTGTTTTCCTCTATTTCTTTGCACTGATCACTGAGGAAGACTTTCTTATTTCTCCTTGCTATTCTTTGGAACTCTGCATTCAAATGGGTATATCTTTCCTTTTCTCCTTTGCTTTTGGTTTCTCTTCTTTTCACAGCTATTTGTAAGGCCTCCTCAGATAGCCAGTTTGCTTTTTTGCATTTATTTTTCTTGGGGATGGTCTTGCTCTCTGTCTCCTGTACAATTCATGAACCTCCATCCATAGTTCATCAGGTACTCTGTCTCTCAGATCTAGTCCCTTAAATCTATTTCTCACTTCCACTGCATAATAATTAGGGATTTGATTTAGGTCATACCTGAATGGTCTAGTGGTTTTCCCTACTCAAGATCTAGGGACTTTTCTTCTTAATTCACAGTTTTGAGAATATACTTTTCCCTTCATTACCTTTGCTTCTGCATTGTCTTCCGCATATCCCTGTTAGCCAGGTAGAACACAAAATACATTTTAAAGCGTAATCTCTTTTTTCCACCTAATTTAGCTTAGCATGCTGTTCCAGTCCCATCTTAGACTACTCAAGAGTTTTTCTAATATGTACAGCAGTATTGATACATGCAGTGTATGATTTTCTTCAGTTTTATATATACAATTATCCCTTGAATGATTGAAAGCAAAAGTGACAGTTGTTCAGTTGTGTCTGACTCTTTGCGACCCTATGTACTGTACCCCGCCAAGCTTCTCTGTCCATGGGGTTCTCCGGCAAGAATACCAGAGTGGGTAGCGATTTCCTTCTCCAGGGGATCTTCCCAACCCAGGGATCAAGCCTGGGTCTCTTACATTGCAGACGGATTCTTTACTGTCTGAGCCACCAGGGAATCCTGTGAATGATTGAGAGTATTTTCCTTCATTAAGGTTTATAATTGAAGTTGTTCTTTAGCAATGTGCAAAATCCAGTGCTGTCGAAGTTCTAGAAGAGAATTTAGGTATATGCTGCTGTTGCCTCAGTGAGTGAGTAGTAACATAGCTCTATGTACATTCAGGGAATACTTTTCATGCCTACATGTCTTCATGATGTTTTCCCAACACTCTGGTACATCATCCAGGGGAGGGGAAAGCAGGCAATTTATTTCATTTTACATACAGAGAGAGAATAACCTTTCACTCAATTATAAAATAAGGATTGGTTCTGAAAGAAGCTTTGAAATAATAGAAAATTGTCATCCAAAGAGAATTCATGTAGTTAGTTAAAAAAAAATAGGTTAAGAATTTTTAGTAATTGTTATGTTGTTGTTTTTAGGAGTCAATAGTTTTAAAATATGGCCAATTTTCACATGTATTTTGAGGGATATGGTACTTAAGAGATTTTTCTCAAAAATTCCTATTTCATTATTTTGATAATTTAGAAACTTTTCCCCATGAGCATTATAAGCTTATTCCTGTCTTACAGCATGTATGTCTTCCTATGTCTGGAAAATTCGCCCCCTAAATTTTTCCATGTCTGGCTCATCTCAACCTGAACATTGTCCCTCCTGAGGGCCTTCCTTTATACACTGTCTCAAACAGCACCTCCGCCTTCCCAGCCTTTAACACTCAGTTTTATTTTCTTCTATGTACTTATCACCATCTGAAATTAGTTTGTTCATTTACTGACTCGTCTCTTTCTGTATTAAAATGTTGGCTCTCTGAGAGGAGAGATCTTGCCTTCCCTATTTGTCTATCTCTACTACTTAGAACATTTCCTTTCATGTAGTAGGCCTTAAGTATAATTTATGTGGTTGGAAGGATGAATAAATGAAAGTATGCCTTAAAAAAAAAAGGTGTGATTTGTAGGAATATCTGATAGGCTAATGTGTATAGTGAATCACCAAGAAGGAATACAAGTAACTTCACCCAGATTTATTTCACTATATAGAACTACTTTTTATTTAAGCATTTAGTTGTATCAAACTTCCACAGAAGACATTTTGGAAATATGACTGATGTACTGATATATTAATTTTTTTCTTTTTATATTATAATAATATCAAACTTATATGCAAATTATAAGAATGGTACAGATAATTTTTCCTGAATCACTTGAGAGTAAGTTGCTGACATTATACTGCATCATCACTCAATACTCTAGAGTGCATTTCCTACAAAGATATTCTGCCACATAATCAGGATAAAATAATCACAATCAGGAATTCAGCTGGTTGGTTGGTTACTACTATCTAACCTACAACCTACAATTGGTTGATTGATTGCTATCATCTAACGTACAACCCTATTCAAGTCATACCAGTTGTTCTGGAATTCAGTGGTGAACATCCCTAGAAAGGAGAGGCACAGAGTAGGCACCCTCAAAATTTGTATGTCTTTCCTTTCAGATCTTTGGCTGATTACTTAAGTTCACATGTGGAGGAGACTCCATAGGGCCTAGTGGAAGGTAATAGCAGACATGAGAAGTTGTTGAGGGGATATTTCAGATTTGGAGTTTGAGTTCTACCAAACACATCAGAATAAAGCATTCAGAAAAAGACTATTTCAAGGAATGCAGGATAGATTATAAGAGGATAACAGATCACTGCATTAGGAAAGAGTAAGGTGATGTAGGTTCTCATTTCAGTTTTGTCACTAACAACACTTACCCATGGGAAATAACTTAACTTCTCTCTCACAAAGTACTTTTCTAGGTTATCACTATTTGTATATCTATAAGTTCAATATCTTTTCATATTCAAATTTCAAAATAAAATAGGCATTGATTGCATTTTTCTTCTTTAAAAACTCATAGTGGAAAGACGAATAACTGATTTTGCCACTGTTTATGTGATACAGGGCTTTGCGCAAACTCTGGGAAATAGTGAAAGAGGAGGCTGGCATCTTCCAGTCCATGGGGTTGTAGAGAGTTGGACATGACTTTAGTGATATGTATATATTTCTTGGTAATATTTCTCCTACATGACACTCATCATTGTTATACAGCACTTGAAGTGATAGATATAAACACTGTAAGAATACTGGATATTGTTTTCATCATGAATAACCCAGCAATGTCAGAGTTAGATACCGTTTAATGTTGCACAAAAGTGTCCTTTTTAAAATGTGCCTTTGTTGTCTTAGAGTCTATTGAAAGGTTCAGTTCTACAGTATGTAAGCACAATCTGGAATCATTTAAAAGTTATCACATTATCTTTTTCTTTCTTAACTCTTCTGGTCATTTTCCTTGTATTTAGTGTTATAGAAAAAGCAAATGGGGGCTTGGGCCTGTTTAAACATGCGTGTAATTGGTGCTTAAGAGTCAGAAATAGATAGAAATTTATTATTTTAATCTTAAGTGATATTTTGTATACCAAATTACAAATATATTTTATACTTAAACCTAAAGTGAAAGGAGGTGGGAGGGGGGATCGGGATGGGGAATACATGTAAATCCATGGCTAATTCATGTCAATGTATGACAAAAACCACTACAATATTGTAAAGTAATTAGCCTCCGACTAATAAAAATAAATGAAGAAAAAACCCAAAAACAAAAACCTAAAGTGAAACTGCAAAACAGCTAGAGAAAGTTTTGTAATTGGAGATAAATACTTTCATATTTGACAGAGGCTGTATCAAAGTTGGATATTGTCACTTAGAATTGAATTGTTATAAAGGTGAAGTAGAATTTTATGTTTCATATTCTTTTATTTTTAGCCAAAAATAGAAATATATGAAGACAATCAAATGAAGTCTTAGAAAGCCTCAAGTGTGTCAGTACTAATTTGATTCATATAAGTTGTTTGATTCTTAGGTATGTCATGGATAATTCTTGAGTGTGTAAGATTCTATCCATGTCACTTCCTAAGTAAAGAAGTTACTCTTAAATGAGTCCAATTTTAACTATTGAGTAAGGGTAAAATTAAGAATATCCTAAATGAAAGAAAATGTCCAATATATTTAAACTAGTTTACCTCTATTTTGTGCTGTTCTCTTGCAGTAAACACCACTATCTTCAGAAAATAAGGAATGAGAGGCAAGGAAGAAAGGACATTCATTCATCTTGGAAGAACCCAAAGCACTTTGAAATCTGAAGGAATGTAATTATAGCTGCTAAAACCACCTTTGTCACCGAAATGGATGAAGTACTTCAAATTTAAATGGTAACCAGAATTCTCATATCATGTTTCCACCAAGAACTTTAAATCACTTGAAAGGATTTCTTTTTAGCTTTAAATATTTACCTTAACAAATACCAAAGTGCAAATAGCTGATAATTTTATAACTTATTTAGCATAGTTAGGATTTTATTTTCTCTTTTAATGCTTTACCCTGATATTAGCTAAAAGAATTGTTGCTTTTTCCCCCAGGTTATCAACTTTTAACATAGGAACAGATAAGCCTTATTTGAGTAAGAATATGGCATAGTATTAGTATACTTACAGGTCTGTCCTTTGCCAGATATTTTTCCTTTCATAAAAACAACTCAGGCAACATAAACTGTAGTATTCTATCACATGTAAAAGTGTTTTATAATCTTACTTTCTGAACTTTATTTAGTATTTTTTTTTAGTTTCCTTATGTGACATCTGGTCTCTTGATCTTTTTCCTTTCATATCTGGCATCTTATTTTAATTTAATCTTTATTTTATCCTCTCCCCTTCCTTCTCAGGAATTTAGGTTTATAAAAGACACCAGGTTTTAAGTGTTCTGTCATTAAAAAAGAAAAAAAGACACAAGGATCCAAAATGGAAAAGGAGAGAGAAGTTTGAAAAAATTATAGAATTATTTCTTATTGTGAAGTCACAGTGATTGTTACATTTTAAGTAGAATGGAAAGCAATTACAGAAAGACTTAAAATTCTTTGTCAGTCTTCTCAAATCTCCTTGATCTTAGGTCAAAATTGTTTCAACACATGTTTTGTAAAAACTCAAATGTTTGCAACTTTTAATGGCATCCTAGTGAACAATTAGAAATTTTATTCATTGGAAAAGTCTATTAATTTGGTTTTGGGGGATAACTTTGTTTGCTTGAGTCATTGTGTCTTGGTAGTGAATGAATGAAATTGAGTAAAACTAGGTCCTTGCTGTGAAATCAGAACATGTGAAAAATCAAATACAGCCCTAATCAATGACTAATCCTAATGATTCTAAGGAATGTAGGACCTATTATTTCAGGAAAATGATTTAAATTGGTAAGTGTAACCCAGGATAAGTAGTATGTAAGGAATGTTCCCTGTGCTAACATTAACGTGGGTAGGAAATACCTTAACATTGATTTTTTTCTTTTTAATTATCCAATTATTGGTTAAGCTTCTACTTATGGCATTGTTAGGAATTTCTGTATGCTTGTCACTACCTCCCAGCATTTAGCATTTTAAAAATATTGAGCAAATTCTTTCTAGTCCACAACTATTAAAAAATTATACAAAGTTGAAGAAAGTAACTTTTGAAACATAGCAAAAACTTAAGTGCTGAATATTCAGTTATACAGGCAAATAGTACATAGAAAGTCACTGGGGAATTCCCTGGAGGTTCAGTGCTTAGGATTCAGCACTTTAACTGCCTTGGGCCTGGGTTCTATCCCTGGTCAAGGACCCAAGATCCCACAAGCCACGTGATACAGCTAAAAGAAGAAAGAAAGTCAGCAAACTTCCATGTCTTCTCCACTAATGATCTAAGTTTTCTTTATCCATTTGATTGTATCTGATTCTATAACCTTGTATAACCACAGCTTCATTAATGAACCCAAAACAAACAATATTGTCAAAGTTTTTATCGTGATACATTTACCACTCCTTACCAAACATTTATTTCCATTTAAATTCATCTTTCAGTGATTTGGAGGGCTTCCCTGGTGGCTCAGATGGTCATGAATCTGCCTATAATCCAGGAGACCCATGTTCGATCCCTGGGTGGGGAAGATCCCCTGGAGAAGGAAATGGCAACCCACTCCAGTATTCATGCGTGGAGAATTCCATGGACAGAGGAGCCTGCTGGGGTATAGTCCATGGGGTTGCAAAGAGTCGGACACGACTGAGCGACTGACACTTTCCCTTTCACAGTGATTTTTGGTAACCATGGATAGGATCATTGAAATCCACAGAGAGTGGCTTTTTCTAATCATTAATTTCCACTTTATTCACTACCAAATTTGTTTTTTAGTGTCATAAGATTAACAAGGATCAAATTAAATTAGAACTTGACCTCTCTACAAAATAAAAATATTGCCTTCATTCTCCCATCAAGTCCAGTTCAGAAGTCATGTAATTCACATGCACGAGACTACCTGAATTACATATTGCTTATTTTTTCTGGTCCCATCTAAGCTGAATGCATCCAGAATCCCAAATCAACTGTGGCTTTTGATGAGGGAATGGAATCAGGCTTCTGACTGTGCAACTGACAGAATTTCTAAATTAGAAATTCACATTTCTAACTGTACAAACTATCATGGCCACCCTGAATAGGCTAAAACTTAAAAGATAATGTTCTAGCTATGTTAAAGTTGAATTGAACACCCAGTTTTATCTAAGTCCATTAGCTTAAAATTATGATTCTTGGGAATAGAGTATATTCTTGCAAATGGTGAGACCACTGCAAATAATGTATCTATAAAGAATCTTAAACTCATAAATCTTAATAGGCTCCATTTAGGAAAACTGTCCTTATGGAGGGAAGCCTAGGTATAATTTGCCCAGACAAATAGGAATTTAACGTAAAAGTAATTAATGTGTACTGAGTGATTACCATACGTGAAGCATTGGAATTAGTGTTTAATATGCATTATCTGAGGCTTCACCACTCTATTTGACATAGGTCATATTATTAAATATCTCCATCTTACATATGAGGAAACACATTCTCAAGGAAATTATTTAAATTGCCTTGCATCAAGTTGCTAGTCCAAGGTAGAGTCAGCTCCATAACCTGAACTCTTAACCAGGAGTGTATTCTAGTTTATAAGCATTCAATACCTCAAAACTTCAACTTGTTAAATTTTTATTTACCCAGTAGCAGATAAGGAGAGGTCTTATTATTAGCAGCATTCTCATTTCAGTTTTGTGAAACTATGTTCCCGTAAGATACTATTTTTCTTTTGCAACATCAATTTATTCTGTTGGTAATTTCTCATTGTTCTGACTATGTTCTTGAAGTAGTAGTTATTATTTAATAGAAAAGATACTTGAAGGTGATATCATTAGACCCACATTTATCTGAGATAGAGACAGAGGACATAGAAGGGAAACACAGGTGAGGAAAAAATGCAAAACTGACCTGTTTACTCAGCTGTCCTCCCTTAAAGTCTTATCTGCCTTTCTCTTTATCCTAAGAAAATTCTTCGTTGTTTTTCAGTCTCTGATACTGTTACTAAAAACAAAAATAGTAGTGAATTTGGAGACGAGTTCATCTTGAATTTTTATTTTACATTGGAGCATAGTTTGTTAACAGTATAGTTTCAGGTGTACAGCAAAGTGATTCAGTTAACGTATACATCTATCTATTCTTTTTCAGGTTATTTTCCCATTTATGTTATTAGAGAATATTGATCAGAGTTTCCTGTGCTATAGTACATCCTTGTTGGTTATCTGTTTCAATATAGTAATGGCATACATTTTCTGTTAAATTCATATATAGTCTTTTTCAAATAGGTAGTTCTTATTCTAATTGTAGAAAACTTCCCTGATAACTCAGTTGATAAAGAATCCATCTGCAATGCAGGAGATCTCAGTTCAATTCCTGGGATGGGAAGATCCGCTGGAGAAGGGATAGGCTACCCACTCCAGTATTCTAGGGCTTCCCTTGTGGCTCAGCTGGTAAAAAATCTGCCCGCAATGCAGGAGACCTGGGTTCAGTCCCTGGGTTGAGATGATCCCCTGGAGAAGGGAAAGGTGAAATAGTTTTTCATGTCTTTTGCCCATTTTTGAATTGATTGTTTTAACTGTTGAGTTCTGAGTGTCCTTAAGTATTCTTACCCACTCCAGTATTCTGGCCTGGAGAATTCCATGGACTGTATAGTCCATGGGGTTGCAAAGAGTCAGACAGGACTGAGCACTTTCACTAAGTACATTAACCTATTATCAAGGTTTAAGAGGATAAAACTTATCAAGACTCAACATATTAAAGATATCAGTTCTCCCTAAATTGATGTATAGGCTTAAATCAACTCCTAAAATCCTGGCAAAATTTTTTAAATTTATGTGGAAAGGCAAAGAAATTTGAACAGCTTTGAAAAAGAAGGAAATGGAAGGAACCACTCTACCCGCTTGCAAAACTTATAAGGCCACAGTACTCAAGATTGGTATTAGCAGTAGGATAGACACATAAATCAGTAACAGAATAGATAACCCAGAAATATCCCCACACAAGTATAGCCTGCTGATTTTTTTTTTTTTTTAATGAAAGTGTAAAAGCAATTCAATGGAGAATGGACTGTCTTTTTATCAAATAGTGCAGGAGCAACATGTCACTAGTGGTAAAGAATCCTCCTGTCTTATACAGGAGACACAAGAGAGGTGGGTTCATCCCTGGGTCAGAAAGATCTCCTTTAGTAGGCAATGGCACCCCACTCCAGTATTCTTGCCTGGAAAATCCCATAGGCAGAGGAGCCTTGTGGGCTACAGTCCATGGGGCTGCAAAGAGTGGGACATGACTGAGCAATGGAGCACAATTGAATATTTATAGAAAAAAAAAAAAGCCTAATTCTCACCTAAATTCTCAGCCTAAATTCTCACCTTATACAAAACTTAAAAGTGAATCATAGATTTAAATGTAAAACTAGAAAACTTTTTAGAAGTTTATGTAGGAGAAAATCTTTTTTTGTTTGTTTTTAATTGGGGGAAAATTGCTTTACAATGTTGTGTTGGTTTCTGCCATACAACAACACGAATGAGCTATAATTATGCATATATCACCTCCCTCTTGAGTTTACCCCCCTCCTCCTCCGTCTCACACCTCTAGGTCATCACAGAGCACCCGGATGGGCTCCCTGTGAGCAAACCTTCAGGGTCTGGAGGTTAGTGAAGAATAGTTAGGACAGCAAAGCACAACCATAAAAGAAAGAAAAATGGAAAAGTCAGACTTGATCAAAATGTAAAAACTCTCACTCTGTAGAAGACCTCGTTAAAAGGATGAGAAGACAAAAGAGTCATATGTAGAATACTTAAGGACCCTCAAAACTCAACAGTTAAAACAATTAATTCAAAAATGGGCAAAAGACATGAAGAACTACTTAACCAAAGAGGATATACACTTAATAGCATTGACAAAGAAGTGCATTTTTGAAAAGATATTCAATATCACTTGCTATTAGGGGAATGAAAATTAATGCCATGATGAGTTATCACTGTATACTTGTTAGAATAGCCAAAATAAAAAATAATAACAATGCCTAATACTGATGAGGATACAAAGAAACTAGATCTTTCATATATTGCTGGTAGGAACATAAAATGGAACAGACACTGGAAAATAATTTGATTGTTTCTTTTAAAATTAAATGTACACTTACCATATGACCCAGCAATCCCACTGTTGGGCACTAAACCCAGTAAAATGAGAACTTAGGTTCACACAAAAACATGTACATTATTGTTCGTACCAGCTTTGTCTGTGATAGCCATGGACTGTACCAACCAACATGTTCTACGATAGGTAAATGGCTAAACAAATTGTGGTACATCCATACTGTGGAGTACAATATCAGCAATAAAAACGAATGATCTACTGATATATATCACAGCTTGGATGGATCTCAAGGACATAAGGCCACATAATGTTTGATTCCATTTATATGACATTCTCAAAATGACACAATTATGATGATGGAGAACAGACAGTTGTTGCCAGGGATTTGCGAAGGTTGAGTGGTAGGTGGGTGGGTGTGACTATAAAGAGCACCAAGGGATATCTTCACAGTGATGGAATAGTTTGTATCTTAATTGTGGTGATAGCTAGAGTAATCTACATGTGTCATGAAATGACACTGAATACACATACATTGTACCCATGTCAGTTTCCTGGTTTTGATATTGTATTATATTTATACAAGATGTGACTATTGGGGCAAACTTTCAAGGGTAAATAGGGCTTCTCTGTATATCTTTGCAACTTCCGGTAACTCTTCTATTTCAAAATAAAAAGTTTAAAAAAATAACCCTATTTTAATTAATAAGTATGGTCCAGAAAATTCAGTCCTGTAAAATGCAATGTCATGCTACTTGTGGATTAATGAAATGACTAGGATAAGCTACGCTAGAACCTGGTTAGAAGCTCTGAGGGTGCAGCTTTGAGCTCCAAATCTACCCCCACCCCCAACCTCCCCATCCCATCTGGTGGCAGTTGTCTGCTTTGGTTTTAATATTGCCAAGGGCATTTCTAGGTCTTATGGCTGGCTGGTGGACTCCCAAGACAATCCCATTGATTCAAAGAATCTCCTAGTTAACAACTGTTTCATGAGCCACATCTAAGGAGATTGATCCAAGAAAGTACTAGGGATGCTGAGCTCTACCCTCCTGCTTCCTTGGGTTCATGGGAGGGATTGCTGGCTATTTTTTACCAAGTTCTCTCTCCCCTCCATGTTATCATACTATCCCTCTTCCACCATAGGAACTATAAACAGCTGTATTTGAGAACAAGGGTTGAATCAACTGTTACAGCTAAGTGCATATTATCCAAACATGTATATGATAAAATGTTCCCCTTTTTGTAACAGTTTTCAGTCCAAGGTTTAGTGTATCTTGTTTCTGAGATTTTGCTTCTGAAGAGTGTTTCATGTGTTTGGTAAAAAGCTGTTGATCCAAGCTTCCAATAATATGAGGAAAAGTAAAAGAAGAACCAGAAAAGTTATG